ACCCCGCCGCGGCCGGTAGCCCCCCCGGGAGTGGGGGACGGGGCCGGGGGGGGGATCCCACCGCCCTCACCGCACAACAGCCGCGTCTCCACCGCCTCACGGACGCGGGTCCAGGCCACCCCCGCCGGTTTGTAGACGGCGAAGAGCCCTGCCGGTAGGGCCGCCATGCCGCGCTGCACCGCTCCGCCCCGCTCCGCCGGACGCTTCCGGGGCAGGCGACGGCGGCGGCGGCGAAGGCGGGGGGGGGACACGACTATGCTGCTGACGCTACTGCGACGAGCGGCCCGGGCGGGGGTCCCGCTGCTGCGAGCGGGTCCCGCTTCCCCAGGCAAGTGCCCCGTCCCCCCGGGGGCAGCCCCAAGGTCGTCCGGTCGGTGCCCGCCCCGTTTGGGTGCCCCGAGGCCCGGCCGGTCCCTCACCCCCCACCGCTCCCCGCAGGCAGAGCCCGGCTGAGCAGCGCCGAGCCCCGGGCACGGGATGGACCCGTCGAGGAGGAGGAGGAGGTGGTGGAGGTGGAGGAAGAGGAGGGGTGCTACCAGCTGTACCCCGGGCACATCCCCACCAGCCCGCTGCAGAAGGTGCTGCTGGCCGCCGGCTCGGCGTGTATGGCTCTCTATGACCCCTACAGACACGGTAAGCCCAGCCCAGGGGAGCTCCTTCCACCCAGGGTTCCCATTCAAGTCCAGCAAATCCTGCCCCGTGTCTCCTGGGAGCTTCTCAGAGGACTTAATTTCTCCTCCTGTTGAGCAACGGGGCAAGGGCAGGGCTGAGACCTGGCCCTGGGCAGGAGCTGTGGAAGAGGTGGGGTGAGGAACCCCAAACACCCACTGTGATCTCCTCCTGACCCCTTAGGGTGCTACCCAACCCCATCTCCTTCCTCTTTGGTCCCAAAGGCCTCACACCTGCTCCTACATCCCTCCCTGTGGGTGACACCAGGGCAGAGCAACCCCAAGGCTGAAGATCTGTGGTTTCTGGGGTCCCTGCTTTGCCACAGGCTTCCTGCCTGCTCCTGACTAAGGGGGTTGTTGCCCCATTTCCTCACCTGCCCATTGGCAGCGCCGAACCGCGGGCACGGGATGGACCCGTCGAGGAGGAGGAGGAGGTGGAGGTGGAGGAAGAGGAGGGGTGCTACCAGCTGTACCCCGGGCACATCCCCACCAGCCCGCTGCAGAAGGTGCTGCTGGCCGCCGGCTCGGCGTGTATGGCTCTCTATGACCCCTACAGACACGGTAAGGCGAGCCCAGGGGAGCTCCTTCCACCCACGGTTCCTGTTAAAGTCCAGTAAATCCTGCCCCGTGTCTCCTGGGAGCTTCTCAGAGGACTTAATTTCTCCTCCTGTTGAGCAACGGGGCAAGGGCAGGGCTGAGACCTGGCCCTGGGCAGGAGGCTGTGGAAGAGATGGGGTGAGGAACCCCAAACACCCTCCGTGATCTCCTCCTGACCCCTCAGGGTGCTACCCAGCCCCATCTCCTTCTTCTTTGGTCCCGAAGGCCTCACACCTGCTCCTACATCCCTCCCTGTGGGTGACACCAGGGCAGAGCAACCCCAAGGCTGAAGATCTGTGGTTTCTGGGGTCCCTGCTTTGCCACAGGCTTCCTGCCTGCTCTGGCTAAGGGGGTTGTTGCCCCATTTCCTCACCTGCCCATTGGGGACAGCCAGGTGTTGCGAAAACTGCTCTTGGGTCATTCTCTGGTCTCCTGTGGAAGAGGTGGGGTGAGGAACCCCAAACACCCACTGTGATCTCCTCCTGACCCCTTAGGGTGCTACCCAACCCCATCTCCTTCCTCTTTGGTCCCAAAGGCCTCACACCTGCTCCTACATCCCTCCCTGTGGGTGACACCAGGGCAGAGCAACCCCAAGGCTGAAGATCTGTGGTTTCTGGGGTCCCTGCTTTGCCACAGGCTTCCTGCCTGCTCTGGCTAAGGGGGTTGTTGCCCCATTTCCTCACCTGCCCATTGGGGACAGCCAGGTGTTGCGAAAACTGCTCTTGGGTCATTCTCTGGTCTCTCTTCCAGACATGGTGGCAGTCCTCGGGGAGACCACGGGCTGCCTTGCCCTGCCCAACTTGCGAGACAAGATGAAAAACCACCCTGAAGGTTACCGCATCCTCCAGTGCGTCCCTCCGCGTCCCTCCCTCGCCGTGTGGTTCGTGGTGGGGAGGGAGACACAAGGCCAGGCGCATTCCTTGGGTCCCGTGAAGGGAGACCCCTGTGCTCCCTGGCCTGAAAGCAGCACAGGCATTTTCTTAGCCCTAGCCCTCCGGGTTGTTTATTTTGCTTTATTTTTAACGATCACAAGAGCCTTTTGGCAAGTCTTAAGGACGAGAGCACAGCAGCCATGGGGCCCAGCCCCATTTCAGGCACTGCTGTCTGTCTGTCTGTTCTGCTTCGCTGCTGGAACTGGCAGGTGCCAATGCAAGGAGAGGCAGCAGCAGGCACAGGGGAGAAATCCATGGACGTGGTGGGTTTTCATCGCTCCTCAGCAGCAATAAAAAGCCACCACATCCATGGATTTCTCCCTGCGGCTGCTGCTGCATCTCCTTGCGTTGGAGACTGTCTCCACTGGGCTGCCTCCTCCTTAGACACCTCCGTATTTTTTTTCCCAGTGCCTGCAGCATCTCCCCAGGCTGTGAAATGAGGCCACTTTTCTTGTCTTCCTTATTAAGACTTGATCATTTTTCCTTCCATCTCTGCAGGGACTTGTCAAGCGCAGCAAGGCTGAGGACCAGGAGGGACTTCACAAGTCTCTTATTAGCCAAGATCTTACTGCTTATTTACTTGCCTTCTCCCTGCTCCTCATTACATGTCACGCCTGCTGCTTGTGTGTCATTCGGGTTGTACCATGAAGGGACTGGGGAAAAGCTGCTTTTTGCCTCATGTTTGTGCAGAGCAGCCTGATCCTGGCTCAGACACTGACCCGACAAAGCACAGAGCACCAGGATGGGCCTGAGCCCCAGAGGAGCTGCCCAGGGAGAGGGGACAGCAAAGGCACTGAGAGCTGGGGAGAGACATCCCCACCTGAACCTTGCCCCGTGGGCCAATTTGTGCACACAATGTTTGTTTTTAGTCCTCCAAGCTGCTGAAGTCCCTCTGACACCAAATACACAAGGAAGCATCTGCAGCCAGGGTAAAGCTGGTGCGAGTCCTGCTTATCTCCCTGGCACCTCCACGCCTGGATGCACTGCAGGGCTTTTATCATGAGAAGAATTTATCCTGTGCATGGAAATGAAAGGGCTTTTGTTTAGTTCCAGGGCTGTGGAGCACCTCTTTGCCAACAACCTGGAGAGGAGACCTTTCCGTGCATAGATGCCACGTGGCTGGCGGTGAAAGCCTGAGCAGGAGACAAATTGAACCAGTGTTTAGAACAGATTCCCTCCCCTTTTTAGGGTTGTTCCTTTGAAGCTCTGGCTGCTTTGCAGGGACGCTAAAGATCTCTGCTCCCCCAGGGCTGGCTGTTGCTGGGGGCTGTGCCTGCCCAGCAGCCTGGCCGTATTTTGGTGCAGAGGACGCTGGTGTTTTCCCAACCAGAGTTTTACAGGAGTGCAAGATGAGAGCTCTTTTATTGCCAAGGCTTCAGGTAGATCCTTTAAGCAAGTTGTGTCCCAGCCTCAGCAACAGAGATAAGGCTGGTGCTATCCCTGCAGGGAGCAGTCAGGATCTGTGCAAGGAAAATGCCTGGGAAGAGCAAAGGCAGGGGATGGGGGTTTCCAGGGGCTCCTTTTCTGCAGAACCCCCCCCACCCTCGCTCTGTATTTCCCTGGGAGACTCACTGACCTGTCTCTTGCTTTCAGGGAACGTCCTTGCATCCGTCTCTCCACCCTGGACATGGACAGGCTGCGGGGGCTGCCGGACGGCACGCTGGGCCGAGAGTACGTCCGCTTCTTGGAGGACAACGTGAGTGGGGGGGTTCTCAGGGTGCAAACAGCTGTAGTCGGTCCCTGTGCTGGGAGCACAGATGTGCTTTAGGGGGAGATTAGAGCCATGGAGGAACCTGTGGAGAACCCTCCACGAATGAGAGGGAGTTGGGGGAATGGGATGAGACGCTGGGTGTTGGACAATGCTGGATTTGTCACCAGAGCTGCGCAGTCCCTGGATTTCATCTATGTAAATGACACTGACCCCTGTCATTGGGCCTGGGAAATGTGCTGATGGAGGGGACCGCATATTGCTGTGCCTTAAAGAGTTGGACCAGAAACTTGAGTTTTGGAGGAGGCTGAATTGAACCTTTTTTGGGTTTGCAGAAGGTTTCTCCGGACACCCGGATGCCGCCCAAGTTTGTTGATGATGAAGAGCTGGCGTATGTGATCCAGCGGTACCGGGAAGTCCACGACCTGATGCACACCCTCCTGGGCATGCCGACCAACATGCTGGGTGAGCGGCAGCGGGCGCAGAGGGCTGCGCTGCCAAACCTCAGTCACGGTGCTCGGCCAAGTCTCCAAAGAACGGAGCAGGCTGGGCCAGTTGGGCTTCCCGATCCTCAGCCCGGGGAGGTTTCCATCATCACTGTCCTGCAACGCTCTTTGGTGACCAAGAGCCTGTGGGATGTCACCTTTCCCTGCTGGGAGATGCTCTGTTGGGCTTCTCACACCCTGGGTGCAGGCAGCCACCAGGTGGGTGGGTGTTTGCTGCCCGGCAGGGAAGGTGGCACCGAGAGAGGGATGTTTCACAAGCTCTGAGCGAAGGCAGAAGTGGAGGGGGTTCCAGATTGCTCCTTATCTGCGTGTCCCCGTGTCCTTTGCTCTCGTTTTGTGTCTGACTCAATAGCAAGTCGCAAGTCGAGCCTTGCTGGTGAGCCTGCAGGAACCGGCACGTCAGGTCTCAGGTCTCCTACGCAGGCTCTGGCTGAGCCCTGGCAGCGTTTGGGAAAGGCCTGTCCCGTGCTGAGAGATGGGGAGAGCCATGTGGGGCATCAGGCTTTGGGAATTGCATTGCTGAAGGTCTACAGGGAGCCAGCCTGACCGGGAGGTGTTTCCCAAGCTGGTGGGCCATCACCTGTGGGGTCCTGCCCCATTGGGCTGTCTCTCTTGGGTGGGTGACACACAATAAGGCTCATCCTGGGACAGGATGAGGCCGTGGCCAGACTTGGGAAGCATTCCTGAGTCCTGCCGTGGAGGCGGAGGGGATGGGTGTAGCTGTTCTTGGGAAGGGGCAGATCGTGCGGCCTGCATTGTGGGACTGTGTGGCCCTGGCTAGTCCTCGACTCGGGCACCTTGCCCACTCACGGCTCCCCTGTTCCCCCCCCCAGGTGAGGTTGTGGTGAAGTGGTTCGAAGCCGTCCAGACGGGGCTGCCCATGTGTGTCCTGGGAGCAGCGTTCGGCCCCGTCCGTCTCAGCGCACGGTAGGCACCGGCACCGGCCGATGGTGGGAGTCTCTGCCCCGGGGATGCGCCAGCCTGTGTGATGTCTGCCAGGGTCCTCTGGGGACAAAGAGGGGACACGCTAGTTTGCAGCAGGGAGTCCGTCAGGGATCCCTTAGGTGAACCTGCTGCCCTGTCCCCATGGCCCAGGGAAGTGGTGACAGTGGGAGGCATAGCTTTGCCTGGTCACTGAAGCAGAATCTGATGCTTCAGCAGCTTCCAGCACGGAACCTCCTGTGCCAGGCAGCAGGAGCAATGCCCAGGCCTGGCTGCCCTTGGCTGAGTAGATCTTGAGAGCCAGCGGGACCCTTACCATGCTGGTAGCTGTTCCCTGCCCCAGCACATCTGTTTTGGTGGCCCAGCACAGTTTGGGGATTGCAGAACCTCAGTTCTGATCTTGGGTTTGCTGCTGGCTGTAGCCTTCCCGGCACACTGTCCTCTTCTGTGCCTCAGTTTCCCCTGTGAGATAGCAGGAGGGATGCTAGAAGCGTGTGGGGGGGGTGTGAAACACATGAGTTTGGCACCTGCCTCCGATGGGGACTTGGAAATTAAAAACAAAACATGAAAATAAAAACTGTCACCGTCTGTGTCTTTTGTTCCAGAAAGCTGCAGGTCCTGGCCACTGAGCTGGTTCCCTGGGCAATTAGGAGCGGGCGCAACGCCAGCTGTATCCTGAACATCTACTACGAGCAGCGCTGGGAGCAGCCAGTGGAGTCCCTGCGGGAGGAGATCGGCATCTTCCCTCCTCCGGCCGTTCGAGTGTGAGAGCTCAAATACAGGGAGGGGACAGGGGGTCCCCGATGGCAGCCGTCCCCTGCCACGCTCCATCTCCTCCTGCCCGAGAGCACAGCGTGGCTCTGCTACCAGCCACCACGGACCCGGGGGCTGAGTTTTCTCCTGCCAAGAGCTGGCACCCTCCTGTTGGCAGAGGCCAAGTGGCACTTCCCTGTGCCGTGACAAAACTTGACCTTTTTACCTGTTTGTGATTCAGTGGAGGGATGGCAGGGCCTGCCGTGCCTTTGCCAGCTGGGTCTGGCTGCTCGGGTCCCCCCAGCAGCAGCGCTCTGCTACTGAAGCTCCAAAATGTGGGGATGGGTGGGAGCAGAGCTGGTTTACAACCACCACCTTGGCTTTCTGCAGCTCTAGGGCTGTGTAGGTAAATTCCTCCTCCCACCCTCCCCAGGAAGATCGAGGCTTAAAGTCTTGGGGCCACCCTGGACTGGAGCTAAACCAGTGATTTACAGAGCAGCCCAGGGGTGCAACAGTGAAATCCCGTCTCATACTGGTGCCTAACTGGTCTCCTGACGTGTCTCACACCTCGGAGACCAGGCAGTGTGTGATTGCATGCCCATGGGAGCAGGCAGGGAAATACCTTCGGATATTAACCCTGCTGGATTGGCTGTTCGAGAGCTGATCCCAGGCTGCCGTGTCTCCCTCCAGTCCCTCCCCATCAAAAAAGCTGAAATCCACGTGGGTTTTCAGGAGGAATCCTCCCCTCCTTGAGCAACAAAGTGACGTGATTGGGAATAAGGGGCTGAATCCTGGGAGCTCAGAAACGGCGGCTGCTTGCGCTGCGTCTGGGAGCTGATTGCTGTCTGGGTTAATTAAAGAAGGCTCCAGACTGCCAGTGGCTGGAGCACAGAGCTGTCAGATGTGAGGGCAGAGAGCCGCGAGGCTGGGGGCTCTTTGTACGTGTGGGTTTGCTGTTGGAATTCCTTCTTGCTTAATAAAATCCATGGTGGAGCTTGTGGTTGTTATCCCTCTCCTTCCAAGGGGGAGGTCTGACGTGAAATCCCATCCCTTTTCGGCTCCAGCAGGATCTGCTGTTCTTTGTCTGGTGGTAGCCAGCGGGGTGTGTGTGTGGCCACACATCCCTGGGGAGCGGGGCACAAAGCGGGCTGTGGAGCCGCATCTTTCCAGCTGGGATGTGGGGGTGCTGGGCTGTCGAATGGCTCCTCATGGTTGTTGCACAAAAGCCTGGGCAGGGGAAGAACGAGGTGTGGGGCAGCAATGGGGCTTCCTAAAGCCATCCTGGTTCCTGGAGGAGGAGGGGGTGCTCTGACTGGGGCCCTGTGGTGGTCCTGGGGTGAGCTGTGCAGCCGGGGGACATGGCATTGCCCTGCTGTGAGCTTCACCCCGTTCCCAGTCTCCTGTGGGATGCTGGAGTGGAGGGGCAGGAGCGACTGGGGGTCAGAGTTGCTCCATCCGAGAGGCTGAGCAGGGGCAAAACTCCTCAGTTTTGGGCTACATTCAAGCGCAAACACCGGGGGAGAGGGACTGGCTTCCTTCCAGCTTCCCCCCATTCCCTGTTTTCAGCTTCTCCCTCCACCCCCCAACCAGCCAGAATTCGTGTTTTTCTCCCAAACCAGGCTCAGGCCTCCCGTTGGCCTCCAGAGTTATTTCAAGCAGGTAATAAATGATATTATACAAATACATCCTTCAGCTGCCGGCAAACCACACAGAGTAGGGGTTGTCCTATTGCACCGGTCAAGATAAAAGAAGCGTTTGGCCCTAAAATGACCTGGAAATGTGCTTTTCTTCATCGGAAACGTGTCAGAGCTTTGGGGTGGTTAAACCGAAGGGCAGCAGAGATTCGCCGCTTCCAGAATCTGTGAGCAGCAGAGGAGGAAACGTGGGAACGGTGGTCGTTAGAGGGGGTTTTGCTGCACTTTGGGTTATTTTGCATGGCCACACAGCGCCCGGGTTGCCAGCAGTGCTTGTGCCGCCTTCGTGTGGCCACGTGTTGCTGGGGGGGGGGGTTGGTACCAGCGCGCCCAAAATGTCACGTAATGTAATTTTAAACTGCATCTGCTCAGCCGGGTCACCTCACGGCCACCCCTGGCTCCTGTTGGCCACTGCTGCCTCTTGCCGAGTCTGCGAGAAGGCAAAGCAGCAGCGGGAGGTGGTGGTGGGAGGGGGAGCAGGGCTGATTTTGGAAGGTCAGAGAAAAAGTCATGCAAAAATGCATTTTTTTTTTTTTTTTGGGAATGTTTGTGGGTTTTTTTCGGTGGTTGCGTGGCAGCTCCACCACCACCAGCCGTGGTCTGCGCCTGTGCTGCTGGGGACATGCAGTAACAATAATTTATAGTATAACTTATATATTAAGACAATAACTGGGGGAGGTGATGCTGCTGCCACCCAAATGGTGCATTAATCCCCGGGAGGGGCCACGTCCCCAACTGGTTCCATCCCCGGTTTCCCGCCCGCACCCGGCTCCGCTCCGAAAAAGGGGCTCCCCTCTGGGTACACCGAGGCCCCCCGGTTCCCGGGGAGGCGGCAGCGGCCGCGGGGGGGCGGCTCCCCCCGGCCCGTTACCGCCGCGGAACCCCGTAGAGGCATCGCCGACGCCCCGGCGGCAAAATACGACTCTGGTGGGACTCGAACCCACAACCTTTGAATGACTCCCGTCACACAGCGCTAGAAGTCCAATGCGCTATCCATTGCGCCACAGAGCCCTCGCTTTGCCGCGCCGCCCTCACCGCCTCTTCCCGCCGCGCCGCCCCGCGCCCCGCCCCGCTTCGCGCCCCGCCGTTGCCCGGGACCGCACCCGCTGCCGCGGGGCCGGACCGGTGACGCCGGGCGGGACTACAATTCCCGGCGGACCGCGCTGCACCCGCCCCGCCCCGTGCCGCAGCGGCGGGGGGGG